GAATTTTTCTAGCAATTACAAGAAATTTTTCTCAAGTTAATACACCAAATGGAAAATTAAATAGTACCAGACTTTTGCGATTTAAAGCAGGTTTATAGATGTATAATAATATATCATATAAAATAATAATAATAATACAATTAATACAAAATATAAAAAAGAATAAATATTCTATTATTTTAATGTATTTTTCTGTTGTTTTTATTTTATTATCATTATTACATTTGGAATATTATTACGACTACTACTAATAAAATACATTTTACACTTAAAATTATCAGAATTATTATTATTATTGATAATACAATATCATTGATAAACATTCCCTGTAAAAGGACAAATAACAGTATAAAGTATATTATAGATATATATATATATAATACCATTTCAGTCTTTCCACTTCAATGTGTTATTTGCCATTTCTTTGAAATTATTTGTGAACTTAGAAACAATTTTCTTATAGAAATTGCTGGTAAAGTAAATCCTACATCTACTTTTTTCAGTGTACATATCAAAATGTCATATTACCACAGTACTTTTATGTTGTGAAGCTGATTTATAGGTTTAAAGCCCCGTAAGCGCTGATATTAATGTGGTACGAGGTGACATTTGTATTGTTGCGAGGCAGAGAAATGGAAACGCAGAAAAGCATGACAAAGAAAGCGGATGTGTAGTTCTGTCTCTGTCTCATCACCCACTGTTTTCATTCACTGCCTTTCATTTTTTCTTGGTAACCTGACCTGATTTTCCTCCCTCTCTCTGTGGAGGTCTCAGTGAAGAGCCGCACGTCTTTATGTAATGAATGAATCATCTGTAATGTCTGCCATTTCAGGGCTATTTAAACTCATACAGCTGGAAGACTGAGCGAGAGAGAGACATTGAGAGAATTCAAAGACATTTAATCTGCCCACAACCTGTTTGTTCAACAGCCCATAAAAAAGCAGTGTAATAAGCACACCTCCTGTGTATGTTTTTCAGATGTTCACCGTGTACTCGCTCTCTCTCTCTGGACAGAAACATCTAGAACAGAAACACAGGCTGTTTTCCACAACATCAGGTTTTGCCCATGACGAGGCCTGGATGTTCCACCCTGGACCCAAAACCCCTTTACTTGCAAAGGTTCTGCACGATCCTCTTGTTCATAAACATTCTCAGGGTCTCAATCAGGCTCAAACTGATACGGCAAAATTGGTCATCATTTGGGTGATTCACAACAGATGTTTTCTTTAGGAGGCTGTTTAATTCTAATTAGCGAAGGTCAAACAATCATAATTCAGTTGAAAACACATAATGTTGCATTTTGTAATAAAGTTCTCAGCCAACTGTTGTTTTACTTGCCAAAACTAATTTTTACTTTCATTTAGCATTTGGCAGGTGTTCATTTTGGCCTTTGGGCATCTATTTCAGACACCGATCTGCTGATACACCGAGATGAGATTTTCAGAGCTGGTGTTTAGCTCCAGTGGGAGTGAAAATACAGAGAAAATATTTAAAAAGTCAAGACAAAAATCATATTAAAAATCATGTGTTACAGTGTTAATATCTGATGCTTCTCCACTACAGCCATTTTTAACCATTCACATTCAATTACATCAACACCGCCACAGACAGAGCTGGCTAGTAACTGATTCAGTACTTGTAATTACAAAATACTTGTAATTAGATCATATCACATTTTAAAATTCTTGTAAATCAGACTAGTTACCTTTATATGTTTTTACTGATTATGTGATTATATATTATTCATACAATAGCAATAAATTATTCATCATTTTAATTTTAACATGCGTTTTCTCAATAAATCAACATTCCATCAACTACAGATGAACACATTTATTTTCATTTGAATTACTTTTTAATTTTATTTTGTATTTTTTATTTATGACAACATACATTGAACATGCCTATCCAATCTCTGAAATATTTTATATTATTTTCTATTGCTATGGACAGAGGTATAAATCAAAAGTCATCACTTTGCAATGTTGCCAAGTATTACATTCTTGTTATTCTAGTAAAATGAAATATTAGGAAATATTCTATTCCTTTGTGGTTTCATTATAGACGCATCAGAGGGTTAAAGCAAACGCAGCTATGTGGCTTTGTCTGTGTGAATTGAAGATAAGAAGTAGCCCCCCCCCCCCCCCCCCC